CTGTCCCCAGCTGATGTACATGCACTGGATGAACACCATGGTGGGCTACTGCGGCCCCTTCAAGTATGAGAGCGAGTACTGCCAGAAGCTGCGCAGCTACCTGGAGGCCAACCTGGCCTGGATGGAGGAGCAGATGGAGAAAGGGCAGGACACCGAGTACTGGCACCAGGTGAGGATGGGGAGCCCCCACCAGGGGAGCCCCCCTGGGTCCTCCTGGGCCTTTTACCCAGAGCACAGCACAGGGCAGCCAGCTGTCCTGGCCCAGCTCCAGGTGGGATGACAGGGATGTGCTCATGCTCCTTCCTGGGGTGAGGAGAGGTGACTCGTGACTTTCTCCTCGCCAGAACCTCGCATGCTGCAGTTGGGGTGCACAGGAGGTGGCTTTGTCACCCTCGGCTGTGGGTGCTGAGTCATGACCTTGCTGACAGTGACACTTCCCCCCCGTACCTCTGCGGCAGCACTGAGACCCAACTGATGTGCTCTGTCCCCTGGGGCAATGAGGGAGCCTGTCCCCCAAAACCTCTCAGCCTGCCTCCCCACAGGAGCCAGTGCCAGCTCTGTCCCCTGTCCCCAGGTGCGCCTGGCCCTGCTGCAGCTGAAGGGGCTGGAGGACAGCTACAACGGGCGCCTGGACTTCCCCAGGGGCAGGATCACCCTGGCACCCTTTGGCTTCCTGTAAGCTCCTTCTCAGAGCTGGGGGAGAGTGGGGGAGGGTTGTCCCGGGGTTTGGAGTGCTGTGGGGACAATTTCTCCATGTTCAGGAGCAGCCAGTTCTACTCCAGGTGCACCTTTTCTGGGCATTTGTCTTCTGCTGCTGGGGCAGGTCGGAGCTAAGGCAGGTTGTCCTCTTCCGCATGCCATGGGGATGGGTGATGGGTTCCCCCCACAGCCCCTGCCTCAGTGCTCCCCCTTTCCTCCCTGCTCATGCTACCAGGGTGCTGCCAGCACAAGTGCCTGCCCTGGGGGGTGATGGAGATGGACAGACAGACAGAGAGCTCTGAGCCAGCTCAGCTCCAGGCCTGGGGCACCCCTCACCTGACATTTTATGCCTTGCTTCCCCCCAGGCTGCTGCAGCTGGGGGGTGACCTGGAGGACCTGGAGTCTGCCCTGAACCGCTCCTCCCCTCAGCGTGTGCTGGGCTCGGGCTCCTGCTCGGCCCTGGTGAAGCTGCTGCCAGGCCAGCGGGACCTGCTGGTGGCCCACGACACCTGGACCTCCTACCAGGCCATGCTGCGCATCATCAAGAAGTACACGCTGCCCTTCCGCGCCTCGGCCGGCGGTGCGTGGGCTGGGCTGGGGGGGCTGCACCTCATAGCCCCCCTCTAACACTCTGCATCCCCCCTGCAGGCAAATCCCAGATCCCTGGGAGTGTCCAGGTGTTCTCCTCCTACCCCGGCACCATCTTCTCCATGGATGACTTCTACATCCTCAGCAGCGGGTTGGTGAGTGGGGCTGCTCCTCCTGCACCTCTCCCCGGCCCTGCTGCCCTCCCCATCGCTCCCTGCCCTGCAGGTCACGCTGGAAACCACCATTGGCAACAACAACCCGGCCCTGTGGAAGTACCTGGAGCCCCAGGGCAGCGTGCTGGAGTGGCTGAGGAACATCGTGGCCAACAGGCTGGCCCGTAGCGGGCCCGAGTGGGCTGCGGTGTTCCAGCGCTTCAACAGCGGCACGTGAGTGGGCTGGGAGTGGGGCCTGGAGGGATGCTGGGGCCTTGGGGAGGCTGATCCTCAACAGGGGTAAAGAATAAAGCAGGGATTTATTAAAAGCCTCAATGGATGCATGTTGGGCAGCACAAGATCTCAGCCAGGGCTGCACCCAGGATGAACCAAAATGGTCACAAAATGCACGACCACTCACGGGGTCTCTCACTTTGATCAGTTTTGCTCCATTTGCATCTTGGAGTTAATTGTCCACTTAGATCTTTAGGTTATGAAGTGCCATCCTTCTTGTTTTTCTGTCTTCATTCTGCCATTGTTTATGCTCTTGGGTCTGAGATTTGGATTATTTGTCCTTGGTCCCTAGATAGAGAAGGAATTGTTTTGTCTCCCTGCTCTATAAAGAGAGTTCACCATCCCCTGATATGAAGGTCAGAACTACACAATCTGAAACATAGAAAAGCTAAAACTTAAGGCATCAGTGGGATGGCATGGAGGGTGCCCAGGCTGCCAGAGGGATGCATTCCTTGCTTTCCGTGCCAGGTACAACAACCAGTGGATGGTGGTGGACTACAATGCCTTCACACCGGGCAGAGCGAGCCCGCCGCCAGGCGTGCTGACCGTGCTGGAGCAGATCCCGTGAGTGGCTCCATTCCTCCCTGAGCCCTGCTGTCTCCTCTCCATCCCTGTGCATTTGGGAAAGCTCTGAGGGTGGTGCCTGCCCAGCCCAGTGGATGGTCACAGGGCAGTGGGGCCTGTCTGTGGCTAAATGCTCTGGGGTGCTGGTACTGAGGTGATGGGTGACCCCCAGTGTGTGTTCCCCCCAGCCCAGCATGCCTCCCACTATCCCCAGTGACTTTTCCCCCTCTGCTCTGACCAATGCTCTTTCTCCCAGCACAGGGGCCTGGTGGTGGTGGCTGACCAGACAAAGCTGCTGTACCAGCAGGGATACTGGGCCAGCTACAACGTGCCGTGAGTGCCATCCTTCCCTGTGGCCTGCCCTGGAAAGAAGGGCAGCAGTGCCCACCTTACACCCCCTTGGTGCCAGCTTGCTGGGTTCCCCCTCCCCAGGTACTTTGAGCAGGTCTTCAACACCAGTGGGAACCTGGAGCTGGTGAGGAAATACGGTGACTGGTTCACCTATGACAAGAACCCTCGTGCCCAGATCTTCCGCCGGAACCAGACGCAGGTCCACGACCTGGACTCCATGATCCGCCTGATGCGGTGTGTGCTGGGCACCCCACACCTGGAATTCCCCGAGGAACTTCCCCCAAGGGATTTTCTGTGATCTGTGGGGTTTTTCTGTGTCTTCACTGGGCTCTGTCCCCTCCCTCTGCAGGTCCAACAACTACCTGCAGGACCCCCTGTCGCGGTGCAGGGGCTGTGACCCCCCCCAGAACGC